AAGTGGACTAGTAATTTGCGTACTGTTTTGGATACAATCCCACTATTATACTAACTAATTACAAGGTTACAATCGGGCAAGATTTGTGGTCGCATCTTTCAGCGTCTAAAACCATTTATACAGAATGGTATTATTAGAGTGGATGGACGCTTATCTAACTCACATTTAAGTTTCGATCAACGACATCCTATAGCTTTACCGCGTAAGGATCATATTTTGAATTTATTAGTTGATAACCACCATAAATTGTATTGTCACGCAGGCCCTCAATTGTTGATGTTTATTTTGTGTCAGAATTGGATTCTTTCTGCTCGTAACTTAATTCGCAATTGGGGGCACATACGTATATCTTGCTTTCGAGTTCGTCCTAGGCCGTCATTCCACAATCTGTAAAGTCTTTTAGCACACCGGGTATGACTTTGCTGGTCCGTTCAAGGTCACATTTACTCGTGAGCGTGGTGCAGGATCCACGAAGACGTATGTTTTACTACTCGCGCTGTACACAGAACTCGTCGGTAATCTAAGGGCGGCTAGCTTTATGGGTGCATTTAAAAGGTTTCTTTCTCACCGCGACCCTATAAGTAAAGTATACTCGGATAATGGTACAAACTATGTAGGAGCAAAACGTATTTTGTCAGAGTTACACGAGTTCTTTACTTCTAAATATTGTTGCGCGCTATAATTAGCGCCCGGTATATGGCGGGTGATTATTAGCGCTATCTGGTATCAAGCAGCAGAAATAGAAGCGTCAAGATCTTTCTAGAACTCTCCCACTAGCGTATCAAATAGAAGAACTAAGATTCTTAGAAAACTCCACACTCGAATTTTCTACATCTAGTCCGTCGGGACCGGTATTTACTGGAAAATTCTAGATGTTTCGGTGGAAAAGGCCTATATAAAGCCGTTGGAGGCGCGACCGGGGCATTGAATTGGCGATACAAGTGAAGACTTAGGAGCGAAATAAAGTGAACTTAAGTGTTAAGTGTGATTAATTATTAGTATTTATTAGTTTTAATTGGTGTTCGGTAATGAAAGTATCAATTTTGGTAATTCAATCGGCAGTTTTTATTGTCACGGACCCTAAGCTCGTAACAATATTATAATTCGTAGTTCGCTCACATCTTAGCTTAGACCGCATTGAGTGGTTTCTAAACGTCCCCGCCGCAAGTCGTTTTGGGGGGAATTGGGAGACCACCTAATATTAAAAGTAAAATGTCATTTACATCGTGTAATTTTTTTAAAGAATATTAACAATGCTGTAAACATTACTAATATCCCCCTTAACCACTCGTAGTAAGCTTAAATTGCTTGTGTTACGAGTGGTTCACGCCAGTAGTCGAATGGCGGATTCGAACCCACGACCTTTTTGAGTTCGCGGTCCGCGTCCTGCCATTCGGCTACTGTCGCTTTGGAGATCTATTGGAGATCAAATTTTATCTTTTGAAGAATTAAGCACTGTACTCGCACAAATCGAGTGCGTTATGAACAGCCGTCCCTTTTGTCGTACGTTGCCGAGTGACCCCTCGGACCCGCTGGCTCTAACTCCAGCACATTTTTTGAATCTAACGCCTTTGAAGTATTTAACAGTCGGAACGGTAGTTATTCTCACCAAAGAAAACTCGCCGCCTCTTCATTGACCATTAGAGATCATTGAAGAGGTTTTTCCTGGATCCAACGAAGTAATGAGGATAGCTCGTGTTAAGCCCGCAACCGGGTCATATATGCGTCCTGTTGTCCGTCTCTGTCCTTTACCTAACTAATAGTTTTCGAAATGTATTTCTAGGTTAGGTTAGTAGTTTAAATTAGGTCTTAGTAGTAGCTTTATTTAGTTTTGAAGGAACCCTTCAAGCTGGGCGAATGGTTATGCGCAAAATCAATACCCTCGCATTTTGGTTCTATTAGCTAGTAATTAGGTGGTACAATCTCCCATCCCATCCGTTTTTCCTTCCGCATGCACTGAGAGTGGAGGGGGGAAGGAGGAGGCTAAGATATGTTGCGTAATTTTAGCATCCAATGGAAAAGTGCGCTCCGCTTAGATGGAAGTTGAGACGGCCGAAAAGGTAAAATGACGTCCGCCACTTGTAACGCAGTGTCATCGGCCTCGAGGCCTGAGACCAAAGCAGTCAGAAAAACCCACCCCGGTAAGTGCTAATTAATGAGCTGCTTTTTGTCCTTTGTTGTGTCTTTTTTCCTAGCAGCTCATATTTTGTTCCTGTGTAAAAGTACCGGCTAGTTATAGTACATTAGGTCAAAGCTAGTGTATTGTCCAAAGCCTGCCACGTGCCACATCAGCCATTTTGTTTTAGTTTAATAGTTACGTATATAACGTATATATACAGTCTACCGTTTGGCTCACTCTAGAAGACCCATCGTTAATCTCTCATACAAATTTTCGGGGTCATTATTCCTAGAATCGAAAACGGGACCCTGTTGCCCAACCAATTTCAAAATTCAGTCTAACTCCTAACTCAGCTTTAATAAATCAAGGGCAGCTGTGATGTGATAAGAAGAGGTTTGTCTGGAGATTTTGAGTTTTGTCGGGAGTGTGGAGATAATTTAAAAATCCAGACAAATCTCTACCATCTGGGAATCCTAAGTGGTAGGTATGAAAATTTCAATTTAATACTCTAGCGAGTTTTTTTATTTACCAAGAAACTACATCAAGCAGTGCCCCGCGACTTCGCCCGCATTTAATTTAGGGTTTTAATATTTTTTTTGCGCGAAACCCTAATTATATAAAATGAAATAGCTGAAGTTACTCTTTATAACATCAGCTGTTGCCAGTGGAAGGTCCGTCAAAATAGGTCCAACTGTTTTGGAGATCAACAGGAACAAACAGACAGACAGGCAGACAAAAATATAAAAAATTGTATTTTTCTTATAACTATCGTACTCGTATATACTTTCATATGCATTTATTAAAAAGCGGTTATTTTGACATTACAAACATACACTTAAATTTCATTTTTCAGAAAAAGTTTTTGCGTACCGGAAAAAGTTTTTGCGTAGTGTAAATTACAAGTGCAGACGAGTTAAATTACCCTACTATCAACTGCTGGTTGAATATAACTTACTAAAATTAGAATCTAGACGTCAACAGATTCAAGCTATGTTACTGTATGATATTTGTCATAACAGGTACGATAGTATAGAACTAGTTAAAATGATACAATACAGAGTACCAAATAGGCCATTGTGTCGCAGAGTTCGTGCCAAATACACATTTTTTTACTAATAAATGTCGAACCAACGTAGGTAAAAGATCCCCTATATATATGTTGTTAAATTGTTATAATAATACTTTCAATAATATTGACATTTTTGCTCACAAGGTGGGTATTTATAAAAAAGAATTACTTTCCAGTACTTAGAGGAGAATGAGTTTGTATAATTGATTATTACAATAATTTTTATTTTTATTTTTATTATTGTGTTATTTGAAAACACAATCACTGCATTATATGAAAAAGTTGTACGCTATTGTATACTCAATCTAAACATTTGTTAATAGTAATTGGTGGTCGACGGTGTTGGTTGCACTATTATATTATATTTTTGTAGTGAATGTATTTTAGATTAATAAATATTGTGTAAACTGTTTGTTGATACTAATAAATTAAAAAAAAATTATTTTTATAGATTAGTTATTACTTCAATTTAGTTTCATTCGAAAAGCGTTTGCTTTATTTAATTGAGGTGTACCTTCTGCATGTAACGACGAAAACGTCATCAAAACGAAAGCTAACCAGTGATACCTGACTTCACTTTGAAAATTATCTGAAATTACTCAATAGTCGAAATGTACGAAAAATACAAGAAATATGTTCAGATATTTATTCATATACCATTACCTATACCTTTTTACCTAAATCTAAATATTATGTTATAATTAAAAAATATACAATAATAATAGTAATCAATAAGTGATAATCGATTCATCGCTGCTTTATACGAGATGGTGATTGATGACTATACGTTTGATTTGTTTGTAAAAAAGTGTGGTTTGTCTTGTTGTTCGTAAGCCTAACTGCTCATTACGTTGTTACAGGTTCTAATCCTGGGTAAAGCCCTTGGTCATACGCCTGATCTCGTTCCGGTCGTGTCGGATTGCCGTTCTATTGGACTATGTGAATGAGGGTAGAGAATCCGGTGCACCCTCTACGTGCTTGCGAATATACTCTGGCCCCATAACCCTGTCCTGGCACGTCCGGTATTTTATTTATAGTATTATTTATTCCTGCGCAGATTGCTAGTCCATATAGAGACTGGCCGCCGTGATCAAAATTCGGTCTGGAGGATATTGTTGTTATAACCCTTCAATATGCACACGCTCGGATCCGACCACGGCGATATCCCGTCAAATTCCAAGCGGTCGGACCGACCATACCCACCCACAGCACTTTAAACCATAAAAACTTATATTTAGAGACTACTTGTCAGTGAAGAAGCTTGGTATTATAGACTCCATGTGAAATTTTCTATCCTTTAATGCAATAAAAAACTCAGTTAGTCTATGGTATTTATTTATAATCTACGTTCATTTGGTACGACTGTTAGGTGTGGCATGTTATTGTGTTGATTTTTAGATTTTTCTAGTGTGTTATTAGTGTTCTATTATAAAATTGCTATAAAAGCTTTTGTGTGAATATAATTTATCTTTTTACGTAAATAATTTCGAGTAATATATAGAAATAATTGTGATGTTCACGCTGCTGTCCTGCGCTGGATATGTACCTTTTTTACTATTAAAATACAATTAAAATCTATTTGCAATGAAGTAAAAGCATTAAAACAAGTAATATAACGTAATAAATAAACAGAAACAAGTATTATATTGAAATTTATAATGAATATTATTGAAAATAAATGTACGACAAATTCCATGTTAGGTTATTTTTAGCGACGCTGCGTCACGCGAAGCGCGCAAGCGGTGTGAACATGTTAGCTGGGGACTGAGGGGTTAAAAAAGGTATAGGTATATAGGTGATTATTTATTTTCATCAGTCGTCCTCAATTGCGTAATTCGAAGCATTATTAGTGTACAAATAGTAATCTCCTGTGATATCCGTTGCAGCAGAATATCCCATAGACGTCTTGTTCTCTTTGCAAAGACCTTTCGTAAATCTTGCCCAGCTATCGCACGGGTACGCCACAAATCCTTTGCCAAACACATATTCGATGGACTCGTCAAAATAAACTGTAGATCGATTGTGACTGCAAGCAGCTGAAACATTTGTTATTTTAATAAAAACTTGATCTAAGGTGAAAACTTATTTTGAGCCCGATTATAAAACCAAATAGTAAATAATATTGTTACGAGCTTGAGGTTCGTGACAATAAAAATTGCCGATAGAATTACCTAAATTAACACTTTAATTCACTTTACACTAATTAAAGTTAAAAACACTAATAATTAATCACACTGATACACTTTATTCCGCTCCCAAGCTTCGCTTGTCTCGCCAACTTTAATACTTCCCCGATCGCACCTTGCAGCGCCTATAAATACACATTAGTACCGAATCATCCAGAACATTCAAGTAAATACGCGCACCAATCAACAAAGCGCCGAAAGTTCGAGAGTCAGCTTCCAGAAGCTTACTTCTTCATTTCGACAACAGACGGCGCTGTCGGTTGAAAGATTAGTGATGTCATTTTCTGGAAAGCTCTCCCCTCGCTCCGTTACCCGACACTAGATGCCGCTAGTGGCAGATGTCAACTTAGCCGCGCAACACTGCCCCCTCCTAAGACATGCTCGTCCCGAGCATTATCGGCACCATAATAACGCGCCAGGCGATCCACATGGACGATCTTAGGAGTCCCTCTTGCGCCTTTCTGTATCCGGTAGGTTACATCGTTGATCCTGGTTACAATCCGGTACGGGCCGTCCCATTTAGCTTGAAGCTTAGGAGATTTCCCTTTGCTGCGGACTGGATTGTGCAACCACACTAGTGAACCTTCGTCGAAGCCTTTATTGTTCATTTTGCGGTCGTACCGGGTTTTCATCTTCTCAGACATTTGCTGGCCCGATTGTCTGACGTGCTCATGAATGTCATTCATTTTGTTCTGCAAGTCATTTGCATAATCGGTTATACTGCGTGGGGTATCAGGTGGTATCCCGGTGATCAGGTCTGCAGGCAGCCGTAATTCTCTTCCAAAGTTTGCGAAAGCTGGTGTCACTGCTGTACTTTCGTGAACGTGATATGACAATAAAAATTATGTGCTTGTCCTTGTCTCAATCTCGTTGCCGATTGTCTACAACTTTTGCTAGGTACCTCTCCAACGTCTGATTAAATCGTTCTACCATTCCATTAGATTGCGGGTGATAAGAAGTCGTTCTTGTTTTATGAGTACCCATAACTCGGCAAGTTTCCTGGAATATTTGAGACTCAAAATTCCTTCCTTGATCGCTGTGAATCTCTAAAGGTACACCAAAACGACAGAAGATTTCATGAACTAGCTTATCAGCAACTGTTGAAGCTTCTTGATTTGGAATGGCGAAGACTTCTGGCCTGGATTCTTAGTGAAGTAATCCATCACAACCATGAAATACTTGTTACCGCTTTCACTCTCCGGAAACGGCCCCGCCACGTCAATGGCTATTCTCTCCCATGGTGCACCAACATTATACAACTTCAATGCACCTCTATTACGAGTCTGAGGTCCCTTTACAGCCGCACAACTTGTACATTTGCGATACCAGTCCTCGACATTGTTTCGACAGTGGACTCAGTAAAACCGTTCTTGGATCTTCAGTAGAGTTCGTTTAACTCCCAGATGACCTCATGAATAATCATTATGGTACAGCTGTAGAACATCAAGTACTTTAGCTTTAGGGACAACCATTTGCAAATGACAGCTGTCTCCCTGAACATTTTCCCATTTACGGCACAGAACTCCATCCTGAAGCAGCAAGCTGTCCCACTGGGCCCATTAGCTTTTAGTGGTCGTACTCATCGCTGAGACGTCGCTCCACTTGGGCTTCGGAGCACTGGCCTTCATCCATTCCAGAATCGGCTTGATGTCCGGATCTTCCTGCTGTGCACGTTGTAAGCTGTCCTTCCACTCGTTGCTGAGGTGGTCTGCCCTGAGCATCCTCACGGATACCACTTCCTTACTCTCTTGCCTAGTACAATGTTTGCAATCTTCAGGACAAGGTCTTCTTGACAATGCATCTGCGTTGCCATGAGATTTCCCGCTGCGATGTTCGATCTCAAAGTCGTGTTCCTGCAGTAGTTCAATCCACCTCGCAACTTGTCCTTCTGGATTTTTAAACTGCAATAGCCATTTTAGTGCAGCATGGTCAGTTCGTAAGTGAAATTTTCGCCCCAGAAGATATTTGCTAAAATGCTGCAACGACTGTAGTTCCTTTCCGGTTTTGACAACGACTTGCTGAAGTACGCTATCACAATCTCTCGATCACCGTTCCGTTGAGACAACACACCGCCGAGCCCTGTATCACTTGCGTCTGTGTCAACTATAAATTCTTTGCTTGCATCAGGGTATCCCAAAATAGGTGTTTTGCACAGACGGTCCTTGAGCTCCTGGAATGCGATATTGCAACTTTCATCCCAGCAGAAATGTTGCTTCTCCTCGGTTAGCTTATGCAGAGGTTTGGCTATATCTGCAAAGTTCTTCACAAATCGCCGGTAGTAGGAGCACAAACCCAAAAATGGTCTAACCTGCGTCTTGTCTTTTGGAACCGGCCAATCCTTGACAGCGGCGATTTTCTCTGGATTCGTGCGGATACCTTCTTCCGATACTACATACCCCAAAAAGTTAACTTGCCGTTTGAATAGTGAACATTTCTCGGACTCAACTTGAGGTTGGCACTCTGAATCTTCATAAGCACGCGTTCCAGGTTTTGAAGGTGTTCCTCAAACGTACGGCCCACGATGATGATGTCATCCAAGTAGACCAGACAGGCATCGCCAATTAGCCCGGCAAGTACAAGTTCCATCAGCCTTTCAAACGTTGCTGGAGCATTGCACAACCCAAACGGCGTTACTTTAAATTGCCACAGACCCTTTCCCGTCGAGAACGCAGTTTTCTCCTTGTCCTTGGCGTCAATTTCAACTTGCCAGTAGCCACTTTTTAGATCCAGCGTTGTAAACCACTTCACTCCTGTAAGCATGTCCAGCGTGTCATCAATTCTTGGCAAGGGATAGTTGTCCTTCTTCGTAACGTCGTTCAGACGGCGGTAGTCAACACAAAACCGCATGCTGCCATCCTTCTTCTTTACCAGCACCACTGGTGAACACCATGGACTAGAGGAAGGTTCAATAACACCATCCTTTACCATTCCTTCAATCATGGTTTCCACTTCCTTTTCACGTGCTACCGGCAATCTTCTTAGCCGCTGACGGATAGGCAATTCTTCTCCTGTGTTTATTTTGTGTTGAACCGAGCCAGTCTTTCCTATGTCAGCATCGTTTGATGAGAATACATCGGCATACTTGAGTAACAACTTCTTCGCCTTGACCATTTCGGTCGGGGAGAGAACGCTGCGACAGTCTTCCAAAAGTGAGGTCACTCTCGTTTGTGCATTCCTTGCTGGGGGTCTCACTCGATAGATATTGGCACCGACGTAACCAATCCACTTCCTCACAAGTACCAACCAGCGTGCTTTTTTCTATAATCTGTTTCCGGTCACAAAGGTACAGCACACGTACTCCTGAGATGCCAGTGGTTCTGACCAAGGTTCGAGCTACTTTCCATGAAAGGTCATTGTTTACCCTTTCCACAAGTACACAACGGTGAGCTTGCCCAGCGTTTCGAGGAAGACTAACCGGAACAACCGGAGGGAAGAACAATCTTCTTAATGCTGTACACGTTGCCTCGTAACGCACCTTCCATAAAAAGTTCCTCCTTTTCATATTTCAAAACACCTTGCTTAACGTCGATCTCACAACAATTATTCCTCATAAAGTCCAGGCCTAGGATGCAGTCGTCCGTTATATCGGCCACGATGACATTATGCAGGTAGATCACGTTGCCTAGCTTCAACTCAATCTCCTTCCCTCCACGGACGGGTATACGCTGACCGGTGGCTGTTACCAAATTAATGCGTTCTCGGTTGTATGCGGAGTCCCCAAGGAACTGACTTATAAGTTGGGAACTAACAACCGTACGAGAGGCTCCAGTGTCTATGGTCAGTTTACACGGCCTTCCGTTGACCTCGCCCTTGATGATTAGACTGTTCCCATCATGGGTTTGTGAGATCGAGATCCTTGGGGCTCTTTTAACATCAGCCAGCACCCGCCCCGCAGTTCTGGCTTTACTGGCTTTACCTCCCTGAGGCGATGGGAACGATGATCCTGCCGCACGGCTTCTACCTCCAGTGCATGGGCCAAGGCGTCCTTAAGCGTCTCGTGGTGCCCGAGCCTCACAGCAGCTCTGACTTCCAGGTCGCGGATGCCGTCGATGAATGTCTGCACCAGGTTCCCTTCAATGAGCGCAGGTACAGACCGGTATGCTTTTCGCACCAGCTTCTCCACCTCTAGAGCCTACTGCTGCAGGTTTTCGTTGATGCGCTGCACGCGATCTTTAAGCTGCGCACGAAAGACGTGTTCCAGGTGAGCGTTGCCATATCTCGCCTCCAATGCCTCAAGGAGTTGCTCATAAGTCACTTCCTCATCGAGAGCTTCCAGAACTGTTAAGGCCTGGTCGCGCAGGCCTAGTGTGAGAGCAGTCATGGCCTGACTTTTATTCCAGCCGTTCGCCTTCATAACAGCTTCGAACTGGATTTTGTAGGCTGACGAGGAAGAAGTCCCGTCGAACGGTGGCACTTTGAACCCACGTAGCGAAGGTGTAGTAGCTACTACGGGAGCTGTTGTTCCATCCCCAAGTTTGAGGACGTCCAGCGTTTTCTTCACGTCAGCCATCACGTTGTCGTCAACCAGATTGTTCACTTGGTCGATTCGGGTTTCAGATTTCTCAATTCGGGTTTTAGCTTCTGACAGGCGGTTGTCATGTTGAGCAACCCTATCCTTCACCTCCTTCATCTCCTTCCCGAAGGTAGCGTAAAGGTCCTTCATAAGGAGCATCTGCTCTTCCAACCGACGTGCCTGTTCCTCTTGTCGGCGGGTCTGTTCATCCTGTCCGCCCCGCAGCTGCTCTTTCAACTGACATGTTTCCTCTTCGGGTCGGGCCTGCTCCTCCTGTCGGCGAGCCTGCTCCTGCAGCATCACCATCAGAGCACCTAAGTCAGGTGCTGCAGATGTAGGAGCTACTGACGGGCCTGTAGCCGGCGGCTGGCCCTCCGACGTCTGCGACCAAATCTTCTTTGGTCCGTCTCCTGCTGGCGTTGACTTCGGGTACGGACACCCTCCGTTTCCTCCTTAGGTAAAATCGGCATGATTTTATCCCACTTCTGACACCAATTGTTACGAGCTTGAGGTTCGTGACACAATAAAAAAACATCGACACGGTCGAATGAAGGCTAATCTGCCGCTCCCCAGATGTCGCTAGCGAGGTGAAGTTTTTTGTTAAGTGCCAATATCATTGAATTGCGAAGTTACTTTTAAATAAAAGTTTATCAGTATTATATTAATTCAAAAACAATGCATCAAAAACTAAAGAGCAAACTTTAATTTTTAGTGGTTTGAGATAATTTATTTCCCTTAAGAATTACATTTAGTTACTTATACAATATGTAACAAAAACCCTGTGGTTCCTGTTAAGTGTGTTATCTGAATCAGTATCCAAGTGTATAGAAATATTTTTTTCACAAAAACACATTTAAAAAAATAATTTTAATGTAAAAACAAATTAGTTTGCAAATGTTTTGTGGTTTTATTTGCAGTATCGGTACTACGTGGTCTTTGACAATCCTCTTACTCCTCGGTCAATGCAGAGATAATAAAACCACATATTTACAAAATAATTTTTTTCATTAATTTTTTTAAATGTGTTTATAAAAATTATATCTATATGCTTTGACATTGATTCTGATAATGCAATTAACGGGAACCACAGGGTTTGTGTTACCTACATGTTGTATATGAGAAACCTAAATGATACAGACGTAATTACAAACGTAGACAGATGTAAACATAAGTTATTAATTTAAAATATAACTTAAAGTACAGTAAGAAACTTGAACTTTTACACTTCGAACAGATTAAATCCCCCACTGTGAAAACAAATATTACATTCCATTTTAAAGTGGTGCCGCACAGGTGGCAGAATAAGTCGTGAATGTCCTCACAGTAAACTGCAGATTCTTGTTGTCAACTAAAAAAAATATGTTGCTTTCATAAGAGTATGCTAACCTTTTAATATCGTTCCGCCTTCGCAGCCAGGTTGCGCGGAGATTCCTTCGTTGGGATAAAAATCGGCGTGACCATGGCTGTCCTGGTATCCAAACAGACCACCACACGTGTGTATTATATCTACGAAGATGGCATCGCTTTTATCCAATCGGAAATCTGCAGGTATTAGTGGAATTTCGAACATCGGCCGTGCTGGGTCTAACCCTTAAATGAACACTCATAGAGATTTGAAATATGTATGAATATTAAACAAAACGGCTGGTAAGTAGAAAATACGAGTAGTCTTTAACGTCCTGTTTTTTACAAATAATGAAATCTAGGTTACTGATTGTATTATAGGCCATACATCTATAGAAAATGATTAATAGCAATGGCCACCGCAAGTGATGCTTGTACTGACAGTACATACATGGTACAGTACATGGAAACTACTTTTAAACAATGCATATATTCGTTTTAGTGCCTTGTTGTAACGAGCTCAAGATAATCCGTCCCGTGTGTATTGTATGATGCGACCGTGATATATCGTATGATGTGAAATGCTAAAAGAATCGTATAGCTTTTATTATAAAATACCTATCCCTGGTGATTTCTGGATCTCGACAGCAGCGCCACCTATCGGGTCCAGTTGTGAATCTAAATCACCCCTCCGTGGATATTGCGTTGCCTTGCGTGGAATATTACGATCGGATTTTATGGGTTTTTATGTTTTGCGGGGTACCCTAATTATTTTTCTAAAGTAAAAGTAATCTAACATACCTACTCCTTATAACATCGGCTATCTGCCAGTGAAAGACCCATAAAAATTTTAATAATTATATTTTCTTAAAAGTGCCGTATATATATATATATATATATATATATATATATATATATATATATATATATATATATATAATTTCATATGCATTTAGTAAAAAGCATTAATTTTGACATTACAATCAGACACTTCAATTTTATTTATTAGTATATTGTTATAAGGCGATGTAGCCATCTCTATACACTAGACGTAAAATGTACAGACCAGCAACGGACAGCAATTTCAATCGAGTAAGACGTCTGCTAAAGCGATCATCAACGTTTCTTCCACGCGTGATGATTAAAGCGATATCTCCCTACAAAAAGACTAATAGGCTGATGATGATTCACAAGAATTATTAGTAATATAAATTAGTAATTCATTTATGGGGCAATGTATACGTTTTTACACCAAAATTCTGGAAAATGTACAAAATGTGTCAATAAACCAGTTTAAATGTTTTATTAAAATAAAAATGGTACAAAAAGGGTTATTATAATATTAAAGAATAAATAAATGAAAATAACCCCTGGGAATCAGGTGATCACCACCATTCTGGTTCTATAAAAAATAATTTAAAAATTGTACAAAAAAAATTAATGTAAAGTGAAAAATGTTTTTAAAAGAGTCCCGCTGGATTTCTTGGTAGTTATTCCCAGGACAGAGGTATTTTCTGAACCAGTGGTAAATAAAAAAAGAAATTCAATACGAATGATATTTCAACAGTATTATGTATTAATCCATATTGAATAAATCATTCATTTTATTACTAATGTACTAGTAGATACTAGTGTAAGTAGGTAAAGATGTACGATTAAATAGATACTATCTACTACAAATTTCTTCATACCTTCTGTAAAATAAGAAAAACTGACTTAACAGATCTTTAAGTAGATAGAGTAATGGTAGTCCAAGCGACATGTGATAGTCTGCACTTATGAACTTATGAATTAAATTAATAAAAATAATATAAAAGGCATGTCTCACAGCTACAATTAGATAAACATGAACTTTATCAAAGTATTGTCTCACCTGTGACCCTATGTACTTTACTTTTCATAAACATTCCTGCGTTTCCCACCACATGTGCTCCCAGGCTATGGCCAATTAAATGCATTCGGTTGGTTTGTACACCGTAACTCTTCGTGAAAACATCCAGCAATTTCGCTATTTCCTTCCCCACGTATCGGGTACTTATAGCCGACCATGGATATATTGGATTCTTTGCCAGTTCACCCCAGTCGACAGTAATGACGTTGACATCGTAATATACCAGAAGTAAATCTTTCATGTTTTGCAACCAGCTGATTTTGTCATCGCCTAGCCAACCGTGCGTTAACAGTTTAATATCGTTTATTTCATTAAAATAAGTACTGTTTAATTTTGAGTTATTGGCGGAAATGCTTAATAATTCCGGATCATTGCGGTTAATCCTGTTTGTGTAACATTTTATATTTTTAAGCACGTTAGTAAAAGAATAGTATAAATAAACGCATTTTATACTATATATACCTAGATTTTTCATTACATATGTGTACGATTCTATATGAATACTATATATATATATATATATATTTGAAGTTCAGAAGTTAGGCGCCCGCTTTAAATTTAATAATACTCGAGTAACCCAAAAATACGAGTTGTAAAGTGCTGACTGCTGATTTACCACATGTTCGGCGGTGAAGGAAAATGTTGTAATTAAAACTATTTCAGGGGCTGCGAAGTCCGTCCGATACGGGGCAACACTGGGGCAGTAAGCTATCTTATCTAACACCCTCTCAATAGGTATATTTACTTTTTATGTGCCACTGATGGAGAACTTAGTATTTGTTACTTATTGCTTAAGTACTTTTAAAATTACTTTGTGCGCTAAATTACAAAAATAATAAATTACAAAAGTTATCAGTTACCTTATTAGATTCGTAATTTATATATTTGCGTGTCCTTGCATATTTAGTCAATATATGTATATTTACCTCGTATATAAACGAAAATAAGGTTTCCCAAAACGCATGCCTTGATCGGGAATTTCAGTAAAATTCATAACATGCGTGTTAAAATTTTCGTCGACGAATAAGAGCCATTTGTTCCCATAACCGTCCTTTGTTTCCTTCTCGAATGTTGTTCTTATAAGATACGTAACTACAAATCAAAGGTATATTAAAATAAAGTAAACTGGTTAAATATCTTATAATTGATTTAGATGGAATGAATATCACCACATAAACTAATAATATTTATGGTAAGCCATCGTTTGGTCACAACCATGTTTCATAAACTATATTCGCGGTATACAGTAAAATATTTTTAACTTTTTAAATTATAAGTAAGTCCAAGAAATTATGCAAACATTGTTCATGTTATACGATAAAAGCATAATTTTCATGCACCTAATAACTTCCGTTAACGTTTATGCCCATGTAATATTAAAAAATGTCTTTTTATTTTTAGCATGCTTGAATAATTTAAGATACTGTTACGAGCTTGAGGTTCGTGACAATAAAAATTGCCGATAGAATTACCTAAATTAACACTTTAATTCACTTTACACTAATTAAAGTTAAAAACACTAATAATTAATCACACTGATAAACTTTATTCCGCTCCCAAGCTTCGCTCTTCTCGCCAACTTCAATACTTCCCCGATCGCACCTTGCAGCGCCTATAAATACACATTAGTTCCGAATCATCCAGAACATTCAAGTAAATACGCGCACCAATCGACAAAGCGCCGAAAGTTCGATAGTCAGCTTCCAGAAGCTTAGTTCTTCATTTCGACAACAGATGGCGCTGTCGGTTAAAAAAAATTGTCATGTCATTTTCTGGAAAGCTCTCCCCTCGCTCCGTTACCCGACACTAGATGCCGCTAGTGCCATGAGATGAGATGTCAAATTAGCCGCGCAACACTGCCCCCTCCTAAGACATGCTCGTCCCGAGCATTATCGGCCCCATAATAACGCGCGAGGCGATCCACATGGACGATCTTAGGAGTCCCTCTTGCGCCTTTCTGTATCCGGTAGGTTACATCGTTGATCCTGGTCACAATCCGGTACGGGCCGTCCCATTTAGCTTGAAGCTTAGGAGGTTTCCCTTTGCTGCGGACTGGATTGTGCAACCACACTAGTGAACCTTCGTCGAAGCCTTTATTGTTCATTTTGCGGTCATACCGGGTTTTCATCTTTTCAGACATTTGCTGGCCCGATTGTCTGACGTGCTCGTAAATGTCATTCATTTTGTTCCGCAAGTCATTTGCATAATCGGTTATACTGCGTGGGGCATCAGGTGGTATCCCGGTGATCAGGTCTGCAGGCAGCCGTAATTCTCTTCCAAAGTTTGCGAAAGCTGGTGTCACTGCTGTACTTTCGTGAACAGCGCTTCGATATGACAACAAAAACGGTTGTATGTGCTTGTCCCAATATCGTTGCCGATTGTCTACAACTTTTGCTAGGTACCTCTCCAATGTCTGATTAAATCGTTCTACCATTCCATCAGATTGCGGGTGATAAGAAGTCGTTCTTGTTTTATGAGTACCCATAACTCGGCAAGTTTCCCGGAATATTTGAGACTCAAAATTCCTTCCTTGATCGCTGTTAATCTCTAAAGGTACACCAAAACGACAGAAGACTTCATGAACTAGTTTATCTGCAACTGTTGAAGCTTCTTGATTTGGAATGGCGAAGACTTCTGGCCACTTAGTGAAGTAATCCATCACAACCATGAAATACTTGTTACCGCTTTCACTCTCCGGAAACGGTCCCGCCACGTCAATGGCTATTCTCTCCCATGGTGCACCAACATTGTACAACTTCAATGCACCTCTACTACGAGTCTGAGTTCCCTTTACAGCCGCACAACTTGTACATTAGCGACACCAGTCCTCGACATCGTTTCGACAGTGGACCCAGTAAAACCGTTCTCGGGTCTTCAGTAGAGTTCGTTTAACTCCCAGATGGTCTACTGAACAATCATTATGGTACAGCTGTAGAACATCCGGTACTTTAGCTTTAGGGACAACCATTTGTAAATGACAGCTGTCTCCCCGAACATTTTCCCATTTACGGCACAGAACTCCATCCTGAAGCAGCAAGCTGTCCCACTGGGCCCAATAGCTTTTAGTGGTCGAACTCATCGCGGAGTCGTCGTCGCTCCACTTGGGCTTGGGAGCACTGGCCTTCATCCATTCCAGGATCGGCTTGATGTCCGGATCTTCCTGCTGTGCACGTTGTAAGCTGTCCTTCCACTCGTTGCTGAGGTGGTCTGCCCTGAGCATCCTCACGGATACCACTTCCTTACTCTCCTGCCTAGTACAATGTTTGCAATCTTCAGGAAAAGGTCTTCTTGACAATGCATCTGCGTTGCCGTGAGATTTCCCGCTGCAGTGTCTGATAGTAAAGTCGTATTCCTGCTGCTGCTGGGCAGTGCTGTTAGCCGCACTTCCTTTCTGAGACCGTTCACCTTCCCTTCCTAGGGTGTGCTTAGGGCAGCTGGATCGAAGATGGCCCCTTTCCCCACAGCCATAGCACCTAGGGCTGTATCCTTTGCTGCGGTCACGGACTGTAGCTGCTGCAACCTCCCTGACGCGATGGGAACGATGATCCTGCCGCACGGCTTCCACCTCCAGTGCATGGGCCAAGGCGTCCTTAAGCGTCTCGTGATGCCCGAGCCTCACAGCAGCTCTGACTTCAAGGTCGCGGATGCCGTCGATGAATGCTTGAACCAGGCTCCCTTCAATGAGCGCAGGTACAGACTGGTATGCTTTTCGAACCATCTTCTCCACCTCAAGGGCCCACTGCTGCAGGTTTTCGTTGCTGCGTTGCACGCGATCTTTAAGCTGCGCGCGAAAGACGTGTTCAAGGTCGCCATATCTCGCCTCCAAGGCCTCAAGGAGCTGCTCGTAGGTCACTTTCTTACCGAGAGCTTCCAACACAGTTAAGGCTTGGTCGCGCAGGCCTAGGGTGAGTGCAGTCATGGCTTGGCTTTTATTCCAGCCGTTCGCCTCCATGACGGCCTCGAACTGGATTTTGTAGGCTGACCAGGAAGAGGTCCCGTCGAACGGCGGCTCTTTGAATCCACGTAGCGAAGGTGTTGTAGCTACTACGGGAGCTGTTGTTCCATCCCCAAGTTTGAGGTCGTCAAGCGTTTTTTTCACGTCAGCCATTACGTTGTCAACCCGATTGTTTACTTGGTCGATTCGGATTTCAGCTTCCGACAGGCGGTTGTCATGATGAGCAACCTTATCCTTCACCTCCCATATCTCTTTTCCGAAGGTAGCGTCAAGGTCCTTCATGAGGAGCATCTGCTCTTCCTTATCGCGTTGGAGTTGCTCTTCTAAACGACGGGCCTGTTCCTCCTGCCGGCGGGCCTGTTCCTCCTGTCCGCCCCGCAGCTGCTCTTCCAAACGACGGACCTGTTCCTCCTGTCGGCGGGCCTGTTCCTCCTGTCGGCGAGCCTGTTCCTCCTGCTGCTCTTTCAACAGACGGGCCTGATCCTCTCGTCCGCGCTGCAGCTGCTCCTGTAGCATCGCCATCAGAGCACCTAAGTCAGGTGCTGCAGATGTAGGAGCTAGTGACGGGCCCACAGCCTCCGTGGCTGGCAGTTGGCCCTCCGACGTCTGCGCCGTTGCACCACCAAATCTCCGCTGGTCCGTCTCATGCTGGCGTTGACTGCGGGTACGGACACTCTCCGTTTCCTCCTTAGGTAAAATCGGCATGATTTTATCCCACCTTCTGACACCAATTGTTACGAGCTTGAGGTTCGTGACAATAAAAATTGCCGATAGAATTACCTAAATTAACACTTTAATTCACTTTACACTAATTAAAGTCAAAAACACTAATAATTAATCACACTGATTCACTTTATTCCGCTCCGAAGCTTCGCTTGTCTCGCCAACTTAAATACTTCCCCGATCGCACCTTGCAGCGCCTATAAATACACCTTAGCACCGAAAAATCCAGAACATTCAAGTAAATACGCGCGCCAATCGACTAAGCATCGAAAGTTCGAGTGTCGGGCTTCTAGAAGCTTAGTTCTTCGTTTCGACAACAGATGGCGCTGTCGGTTAAAAAAAATTGTCATGTCATTTTCTGGAAAGCTCTCTCCTCGCTCTGTTACCCGACACTAGATGGCGCTAGTGCCATGAGATGAGATGTCAACTTAGCCGCGCAACAATACCTAAGAATGTGTTAACTTTTTTTCAAACCATGGTAACGGCGGACGGTGGGGCGGGGGGTGCTAAGAATCTCCGGTGGAGGTTCGGTTGCCACCGTTGCCACATACAAAGACCATTGAATATCTTGCGATAATAATAGCTTCTGCTCTTACATTTACAAATCACATAGACCACCTGTACAGTAGAGCCCGTAAACTAATTTTTGTTTTTAAAAAAATAGGTTGTTTTGCATGGTAGTAGAGAATATTTCGCATTACAATAATCGATTCTCACCTATTGTATAACCTCGTAGGAAGGGGCAGCTAAAGCTACACTAATACCACTGGCATCAAGAGCTCAAAGGGCTTTATTAATATTCGTAACATTTCGCCCTACCTTATTCCTTTCCCATCTTTTTTATAAGTAAATTCTGTATATTTTCTCAGTGCGCCAGTTATTCGTTATAATCTATATATAAGTACATACGTTACTAAACCAGCACTTAAAATTGCCCTACAAAAGAGAGGTCACGCAAAGATAAGGTAAGTGAAACAAACATTAGAATAAGGCATTCTATCATACATAGAATTTTTATATTTCTTGGCCCTTTTCTGTATAATCAAGTCAATGCAATTTTGTACATGTATCCACTAAAAATGGTAGGTACTTAGATTGTAGAAATGTAATTTTTCGAATTAATTGTACAGTTCATTGAAATAAGAATTAAATAAAAAAAATACAGGATCCCAAGTAGATGTTAGTACCTATCCATCTTCTGTATTGAAATCAGGATGTTTTTTTAATTTCAATAGCCTCGCGGATCATCCTTGGAAAATATTGGTGTTTTTTGCTGATATATCAGACTTGATAAACCACAAATCTTCGCAAAAAATTATATGTATATACTGTCAGGGATGATCTTGAACATGTTAACTGACTGCAGCACAGAAAACAATAATTAGTAATTACTCTCTAGACTGCGCAGCCGGGC